TATTTATGTACTGTGGATCATCTGCCCAAAGATAAAACAAAATTATGCTTAAGAAGTTATGTTAATTAATAAACTAATAGGCAGAAAGCTGTTGGTTGACATACTTAGGGCTGATAAATGCTGCATACAGAGGCATTGGGGTAACTGTTGGTGATCATTATATAAAGATAGATTTAATGGCCGTCCAAAAACTATGTACGTTTTTCTGCAAACAGATTTTGTTTCATAGACCTACGTCATTTTTACAAGCTGCACTGCATAGTTTCATTCTGGAACAAGTTCAGTGAGAATAAAATGATATATGACTCACACCACAAGGAAGAAATCATAGGTTCATATCCTGCTTTGAACTAAGGACCTGATCTTCAAAACATCCAAATAAAGAGAAGGTAAATTGCGTAAGCAAAAACAGAAATGCATTTACAATAAGTGGGTGTTTTTCTGGGTGATCTAAAAAGAAATTATGAACAAGGAAAAAGACTGATGTATTGATCAGGCACACAAAAGGATGCAAAGTGATACATTTTGTGCTTTGTGTCCTATAGACCTGCTGAAAGGATTGACAGTCTGTCCCTAAAACTCTAACCAATACAATGTGGCTTCTTGATAATTTGTTAATTAGATTAAATAGTAGCTTAAAAAAAACAGGTGACACTTCATCAATCTGAGGATGATATTTTTAAAGGTTTGTAAAAATCAAGTTTATGAATTTCTCCATCTGTCCAAAAATTTTGTCCATTTATTTGACAGGGACTTAAGTAATAAATATCTCAGTTGAATCAGTTTACATTTTAATAATTTGCAAATCAAAAGGTAGCAATGCCCTAAAAGCTCAGTCCAAGGTTGACTCTTGTTCACATTCTGCAGGTGTGGGTTTTCTTTTTTAAGATCTGGGACTTTGAGGGCGTAGAAAACATGCATGAAGCAAGCCACTCCTTGGTTATCCCCTGACAGCATTTTATTTATTTGGTGAACAAGTTTAGCAAGTCATAGCAAGTTACAGAAGACCTAGTGGTGTCTGCTAAAAATGGCTAAAACGCCTGACGTTTCCAGCTTTGGTAAGTGAGATTGCTGTGCCGGGTCAGTTAGCTGTTTAAATAGTGTAATATTTCAACTTGTTCTGTACAAATTATGTGAATATAAAAACATACCAAATTCAATATATTTTTATACACTTTATGTAGTCTTTTTACCGAGTGTTGCTGTTAATCATAGATTTTTTTTTGTGCTAATCACTAAGCTTTCTGAACCATGTAAATATTTCATTTTATCAGGAGACTTTATAAACATTGTTGTTGTTACGAGAGTAGATCATGTGAGTTGTGCTGTGTTTCTATAAACAGGATCAATGGATTCCCTTCCAGAGTTGAGGATGGTGTTAATAGGAGGAGAAGAGGAGAGCAAAAGTTCCAATGTTAAAAGTTCAACTGGAAACTTCATTTTGGGCCAGGATGTTTTTGACATGACCAGAAGAACAGCTCAGAGTGAAGCAAGGCAGACGGAAATACTCGGTAGACGAGTTACAGTGGTTGATACACCTGGCTGGCTGTGGTCTCATATGCGAGAAGACACCCCAAAACTGGATCAAATAGAAATCCAGAACAGTGTCCATCTGTGTCCCCCAGGACCGCATGTCTTCCTTCTGGTCATTCATGTTGAATCAAATTTATGCCAGCATGTACAGCAATCACTTCTGGAGCACCTGGAACTTTTCAGTTGTGATGTTTTCCCTCACACTATTGTGATTTTCACCACAGATACTTCGGAGAGTGATGAAAAGATAGAATCCAAAATCCAAAGAACTCCAGCCTTGCAGTGGATCCTTCAACAATGTGGAAACAGAAAGCATGTTCTTAATATCTGTAACAGAGAAGATAGAGATCAAGTCAGGCTCCTTTTTGAGAAAATTGATACAATGGTGGCAGCCAACGGAGGAAGACACTTTTCTGCTTCTAATGTTAAAGATTTGAAAGAAGAGATTTTGGCTATTAGAGAAAGAGCATCAAAAAGGGCTAAGGAAGTGGTGGAACAAAGAAAAAAAGCTAAAGCATTGCTTGAAGGTAAGTTACGGATTTTCTACATCTAGAAAATAAAAAGAAAATGACTTGCTTGACATAATTAAATACAATCCATTTAATCATATGTCACTTATCTTAAAAGAGTTTGTGTATTAAAGTATATGCAAAGTTGTTGGCATGTGCAAAGCTGATGATCTTACAAAATCTAAAGCACACTGCTTGTGCAACGCAGCGGGACAGCAAATTCAGTTTTTTGTTTGTGCTCCCTAATGAATATGCAAATCACAATATAATGACATAACCACCCAAATTTGGAGGGTATGCAAAAGTATTCCTTATCACACACAAACACCTGAAAGTGATCAAACCTGAAAGTAATTGCAACAACAGTTCTTGCATCGACATTTAACACGTTTACATTTTTTTTCTCCATTTAGCTCCATACAAAGCAGAGTTATGTTGTATTAATATGTTCTGGTGTTATCCTCATTTGCAATATTTGGGTAAAATGGTTGTTGAGAGGATTAAGTGAAAGGTAAATCCAACTGTTTAGATTGTAATCTGATTGTTAATCTTTGGATCCTTCTCTATCAGATGAGGGTCAAGAAGGGTGGAGCAGAGAAAGTTTTCAATTTTTATTTATATTTATTCTTTTAAATATTATTAACTTTTGTTTGTAACACTTTGAAATGTAAAGTCTGAAATAAAATTTGTTCATCATTCTAACCATTATTTATAAAATACGTAGCATAAACTCGAACTCCAAGTAGTCACGCAATTTACGTATTTAAAAAGACAAACCAAACCGGTTTGCATGACCTATCCTTGTTTTCAGCTATGCAACCTTTGTAGATCAGCTGCAACATAATACACATGGAATCTATTTTTACAGGGAAGTTCAGTGCTCTTTATTTTGGATCCTTTGAGGATTTGCCCTTCAGTGTTTTAAAAGCAACTGTGAAGTAAAAGCTGTGAATCTTTTTTTTAAAGGCACTAGTGGCTTGTTTTTCTGACAGTAGGCTGACAAGAAAGGGGGTATGAGAAAGGGGGAGAGACATGTGGCAAAGGACCACAGGCCGGATTCAAACCCGGGTCACCTGCATCGAGGACTGAGGCCTCTGTACATGGGTCATGCGCACTTACTAATTCTATGGGCAAGAGGCGGGGTACACCCTGGATAGGTCACCAGTCTATTGCAGGGCAACACAGAGACAAACAGGACAAACAACCATTCACACATACACTCACACTCAAGGACAACTTAGAGAAGCCAGGTAACCTAACAGTCATGTTTTTGGACTGTGGAAGGAAGTGGGGTACCTGAAGAGAACCCATGCATGCTCAGGGAGAACATGCAAACTCCATGCAGAAAGACCCCGGGCCGCTGTAAGGCGGCAGTGCTACCCACTGCGCCACTGGGAAGCCCAACTCTGCCACCCTACTTGTTTGTATATTTTCATAAGTTCATTTAGTTGAATAATTTGTACTCAGTCAACTCAATTGACAAATTTTCTTCTAACACAAGATGCTTAAAAAAAAACCAACTAAAAACTGAGGCTGTAGCATTATTCTGCCCTGCTTGTGCAATTTTTTTTTTTTTTTACTCTTGTAAGCTTTTCAATCAATATTTTCCCTCATATTCTTGGATAAGTATTCTTTATACAAATAAACTAAATGGTCATTAGAGGATTTGATCTATCTACAGCAGTCACTGGGATGTTAGAATTTAGACAAGTAGGACAAACAAGTTTGCACACATGCCTTCATAATTAGGTGCAATTGAAAAGGGACTAATTACCCTGAACAGTCATACTTTTGGACTGTGTAAAGAATCCTGTCCTTGAAGAAAACTATGCACACCTTTGATGCTGGGATTGGATGACATAAATAGAAAACACCCACGCCTGTATCAACAACAAAAACAACAACAACAATATATCACTCATTCTAAATAAGCCTAAGCTATATGTAGAACAACATTTAATTATTTAGATGTATCCCATTTATCTTATTCACAAATATATATCAAAAATAGTTAACTTGTTTAACAAGTTATTATTTTCTTCAATCTCACTTTTTCTGTGTTGGAGGTCTTGCTTACTGTTTAGAGTCTGACTGATTCTGCAAGATGTTTTGCAAAAAAAATAATTTGTGTGTTCTATGAACCATTCTATAACGGTCTTTAAAACATTTTTCTATTGTCTCTTACATAAAAATACTTATACTTTTATATTATTGTTCAATTTTGCTTTTATTCTCCAGGTGGAAAAAAGCCACCGGAGCATTTAAAGCTGCTGTTAATCGGTGCACAGGGGACAGCAAAAAGTTCAGCTGTTAATACCATTCTGGGAGGAAAAGTATTCAGTGCAAAGTATAATGTAGATGGCAGAACTACACACAGTAAGACATGCAAACGTCTGGTTAATGGACGGGAACTCACAGTGGTAGATTCTCCTGGATGGTTCTACATCCATACCCTTCAGGAAACCAGTAAGATAGATAAACTGGAAATTGAAAGGAGTGTGTATCTCTGTGCTCCAGGACCACATGCTGTGCTGCTGGTTATTCCTCTAACAGCAGCAATCCATACATCATATCTGACAGCTGTCCAGGAACACATGACTCTGTTTAGAGAAGACATCTGGAAACACACACTAGTTCTGTTTACTGTGGGTGACTGGTTAGGGGGGAAGACTGTGGAGGAGCGAATAGAGAGTGAGGAAGGTCTGCAGTGGATAATGAACAGCTGTGGGAACAGGTATCATGTCCTGAATAACATGGATGAAAGTAATAGGATTCAGGTAAAGGAGCTCATTGAGAAGATTGAAGAGATGTGGGCAGGAAATGAAGATCCTTGTTATGAAGTGGACCTGAACCGAGCAGAACAGATTGAAGCTAAAAAAGAGGCTGGAGACAATATGGCCATTGGGCTGAAGAAGATTAACGAGAGAAAGTCAAGAGTCCTGAAAGAGCTGATAGGAGGTAAAGTCTAATTTTTGGATTTTCTTATATTGAATCCATTTAATGTTATCATGTTCAAAAACAAACATTTTCCCCTATTTTACAGGTCAGCCACAGCCACTCTCTGGCATCAGAATTGTTCTTCTTGGCCAGAAGTGCTCAGGAAAGGGAATGGCAGGAGATATGATCCTTTTTAAAAGGTTATTTGGAACAGCTTTTAATACAGCTCAGTCGAAAAGGGTAAGTAAATCTGCTCCTAGTACAGAACTAACTTTATCTATTGTGGGACTCATTAGTTCTTTGAAGCAGGTCACAGTCTCATTTTGTTTCTTTGTAGAACCTCCCCCATGCAACATGTATGAAACACGAGGGAGACTTTAATGGAGTAAAAGTCTTAGTTGTAGAAACACCAGGCTGGTTCTCGGACTCATCACCACCTGACTGGATCAAAGAGGAAGTTCTCCAAGGTGTCTCCATGTGCTCTCCTGGACCTCATGTTTTTCTCCTGGTTGTTCCAATCTTCAGATCTTTCACAGAGAAAGATCTCAAAGCTATGGTGGAGGTCTTAAAGCCATTATCAGAGAGAGTGTGGAGACACTGCATGGTGCTGTTTACCTGGGGAGACTGGCTCAGTGACTTCCCTGTAGAGAACTACATCGTCAGAGAGGGAAAGGTCCTCCAAGAACTTCTGGAGAAATGTGGGAACAGATACCATGTAAGAAATCCCAATCGTTCTGATAATGCTGCTCAAGTCACTGAGCTGTTCCAAAAAATTATTGACTTGGTAAAACAAAACAAAGGGTTCTTCACAACTAAACTCAAACAAAACAGAAAACGCCCTTGGACATATAAACAACAGCAATTCATAGAGGAGGAGTGGAATAAGAGGGAGGAGGAGCTAATTGGGAAAGTGATGAAAGCTTTATCAAATGAACCAGAGAAATCAACGGTGTCCTCGGCAGCACATAGCATGGATGAGTTTCTCATTCCATACTGTAAGTTTGATATGATTAGGAATTAACTATTGATTTACCACAAACCCGTGGCTTTTTTTTATTGTTATTTAAAATAATACTTATCATTATCTGTTTCAGTGAGTGCAGATGAACCCTCAGAACAACAAGCCCGTGTTGCTGAATGGCTGACTAAAAAAGTGAGGAAGAGGGAGGTCAGCTCTGGGATCGGCAGCATTGGTTCCTCAATGGTTTCTATAGAAAACCTTGATGAAAGTTCTCCAGTTGATGAAAATCCTCCAAAAATGAGTTCCCTCCCACAAGAGAATAAAGACGATGCTTTGAAAACGCCCCCAACTCCTTCAGTGATTAAACGCAGGAACTCTTATTAGGCCAAAGAACTACAGAAGAAAGTTTATTTAATAATTATTCTCTTTAGAAACAAGTATCTTTATCTTTACCAGATGTAATACAATATACTGAAAAAAGAAAACATTAATTGCAGAAGAAAACATTTAAACAGCTCTTCAGAGGAACTGGACGAGGTTTCTGGAAGGGTACAGACTGCTGTCCCCTGTGATCCAGTCCTGCATAAAGGGGATACGATGAGTATGAGGAATTATCGATATTATCGAAATATAATTTCCTATAAAACTATTCTGTGCAGTTTAGTCTGATCAAATCATTAGTGTGACTACATTTGTTTCATGCATTTAGATCATAGGCCCTTTTCAGAATGAGTGATAAATAAGTAATTATCTTTTCTTCTGTGCAATAATCTAGAAATATTCTTCTCACATCAGTTTATTTTAGGTTATTACTTATTAGGTTCAGATCTAAAATGTTGATTAAAACATACTAATTTCGAGGGACCTTTTACTGTGCTGTTTAAACCAATTTCTTTTTAGCAATTGTTTTATCTTTTTTAAATTTATCTTATTTAAATTATTCAGTTCTATTCTCTTTTATTGTATCTTTATGCTAATAAAATGTACTTTCCTTTTCTTTTTCATTTCTCGTATACAGCACTTTGAATTGTCTTATCACCAAAATGTGCAATATAAATAAACTTGCCTTTCCTTTATGGGTACTTTTTAATTCTAAAAATTATAAAAGTGTCACTAGAATGACACTTTCTAGTGACACTTATCATTGAACCAAGGGTGCAAAAAGAGAGGTGCACTCACTACTTTTATGTCAACAAAAGGTGGATATTGAATATATGGTGTTCTGGTATTTACACACAAAAGCACGTATATGGAGTATAGTGTGTCATGATGTGTTTAGAGGTCTGACCCAAAATGCAGAGAATCACTCAGAGAGCAAGGAAAAAGGTTAAACAGGTTTATTGAGGTAAGGGTAGAGGGGGTTGGATCTGGAACTCAGAGGGCTGGTGAACAGGAACTAGAAAGTGTCTGAGGGGGTTCTTCTCTCGCTCCCAGTCAGTGTGGGTTGACCCAGTGAAGAGAGGACTTGTTGAAGAGTGGACAGGTAGACATTTGAGGAGCAAAACAGAGGACTGCCACTTGGAATTCAGAGAGAACTTGAACGAGACGTGTGGAAGTTGATCCCCTGATCAGTGTGAAACACAAAACAATCCTTCCAGGGGAAGAAGGCCAAACACCCAGCTTGCAGGATGGCTTCCCAAAACCGGCAAACACTCTTGCCTCAAAGTAGTGACAGTCCACTGCTTAAGTACTCCTCCCGATAATGATCCAACGAGACGCAGGTGTGCAGGGAGGACCAACAAGGACAGGGCGCCACCTGGTGGTGGAGGGAGAGACAAACACAAATAACAGACCCCACCAACTGGATTCCTGACATAGTGTAGTATATAAACTATAACAATTAATCACTGTATTTTTTTTCACTGAAAAAACTAAATAGATTGAATTGACTTTGAAAATGAAACAAAACATTGCATTTGTAATAGTAGGGGGGGGGGGATCTTTCCTTCTTTTTTTATTTAGCTTAAGATTTCAAATTAGTTGCTCAAGTTAAGACACTCTAGTGCAACACATTTGTCTGATTCCAGTTGTGAAATAATAATTAGAGAACCAGTGTTTAATATTTCACCATCTACAGTATGTATTTTTACAGTAATTTTTTAAGTTACTACAACAACCTTTTATAAGAGTAAGTTTGTTGGTCTTTAGTTTTTTAACCAACATGCATAATCACACGGAGAACCAGGGAAATATAACGTTTTATTTATAAATGCAACAAGAACCTAGACGGAGATAACTTCATAAGTCAGTTGGTCTGAGGGGAGGAAGCAGACTGATCAGGAAGGACTTCATTGATGATGAATGACTGATTTGATTACTTGAGAGATGAAGGAGAGGTAGCATGGATCTGTAGAAGTTTGATTCAGCAGGCTTTGCAGACTGTACCACAGAGGTCCAGGTGAATGTGAGTGAGATCTGAGAGTATTTGTACCTGCAAGAGACGTTGTGCTGGAGAGCAGGCAGGCAGATGATCATGACTGAGAACTGCTGCACACAGAGGAGACCTTTTCCATAAAGGTTGGAGATGAACTGAGGTTCACTTGTTGGCTTGATCAATAACAGAGTCCACATTAAAAGAGAGTAACAAAAAGGCAAATTTTGAAAAAGAAGTATATGAATGGTTTAATTGTTTGGCTGCAATACCATCAGGTGTAATCATCCAGTGAAGAGAGTTGATCCTTCACATCCTTATTTACACGCCAGTCATTTGACTGAGAAATGTTCTCAGGTTTGCAGCAACACAGGTCAAAGATCACTCAAACCAGAAAAACCCCAGAGACTCTAACATAGATGGGTATCTAAACTTTATTATATTGAATAAAACTGTGAGTCTTTCTTTTGGTGCATTATTATTGTAAATAAAAACCTAAAGACATAGTCTATTTTGAATGCCTAAGGGTTATTTCACTGGTCCAGGTATAAATACAAATAACCATATGGGGGTAGGCAGGACATAAATAGTTGAAATGAATGAAAGTTATTGATATTTTAATTATTCATTATCTCTATACTATATCATAATGAGGGAATTCATTCAAGTTTGACCGGATAATAAAACATTTTTTTAATAATGCAATGATGCAGTCTATACTGAATTGAAGATACCAAGGAGGATGCTTTGGATGTTTGGCTCTGGTGGAATGAGCATGCAAAAACTAGTCGACTGGGATAATATGGGTTTCCATCTGTACCAAAAGATGTATACATGTCAGTGTATATGTTGATGGTAACCTGCTGCTGTTTATTTATTTAATTGGTATATTGCTTAATGTTTAAAGATTTAAAGGAGTGGGACTTTTCACCTTACACTTTTTGGTTAATGGGTTCACTTTTGTGATGATTGCCAAACAAGGTTGTGACTCATAAAATGTCTCATTCCAACTTTAAAAAACTACTGAATTTATTCATTAAACCATTTTTGGAGTTCAGAGTCTCACAGTGAGTCTTACTTTTGGTGCATTATTATTGTAAATAAGAACCTGAAGAAATTATCTCAAGTGTGCCCTTACTGATGCATCAATGCTTCTGGATGTCAGAAATACAGAACAGCACACAGTCTAGCTCACGTTGTGCACCACTAGATGCCGCTGTTAGTTTGCAGATTAACCAATCTGAAAATATTCATGATAGTCTAGCTTCAGACTCACTGTCCTATTCTACAGTTCATGCATCTTTTTTACAAGTCCATGATACAAGTCCATTATACTTCTCTTTATTATATCTTTTATTGGAACCAGCAATAAAAAAGAAGAACCCTAAAACACATTCTATTGCAGTAGCATGATCTCAGCCATAAAAAAAGAAAAATCCAGTTTTTATTCTTTGTTTTAAATAATACCACTAATGACTCAATTATAACTAACATTCCTCTCAAATAAACAGAACCAAAAAACCCCAAGAAGTAAAGTTCCAGTTTCTTTCAACTTGTTATAAGTTTAAAACATTATAAAACATTGTTAAGGCTGTACTGCATGGCAATATTTTCCATAATAAAAACTGCCACTGACATTTGATAAGGGCCTATGTTTCTGTTGCCAGAAGGCAGAGCGAACTGTTGTCACTAAATGCAAAAACTATCTAAAAGTTCACTGTTACAGAACTACAGCAGATGGGCATCTTTGGGTCAATCAGATTAAAAGATTAAAAAGATTTATATACTTTAATACTTTCAGTTTCAAAGCATTCAACACAAGAAGCTAAAATAAACCTTTGGAACGAAAAAAACTCCAATGCACAAATGAATATACTGTATAAGTATGTGCCAAAAGGAAACGTCTTCAAACGGATTTGCTGTGCTTATAGTCATTGTGTTTTCTTTGTTGTTTCTTGCAGTAATAGCACTTTCAACAAATCCCAGTTAGCAGTAAAGGTATATTTCTTAATATCAGGTAAATTTCAATAAAAAAAAAAAAAATAAAAAAATAGTTCAGATAATTTCTTTAGGCAGAAATGAAATATAAGCCTCCTATTGATGATTCATGCTTAAAAGGAAGATTATTTTGCCCATCAGTGTAAATTTATTGTAGACCATCTCTGGCCCTCTTTAATGATACTGTATTGCTGTTTATCTAATAGAACCGTTATGGTTTCCCAGCTACCCCCAATTTTTTTGTAGGATTTTAAAAGCTGACTCAATCTGTTTAACTTTGAGAAAATAAATCTCCAAAAGAAGCAGGTTTCATTTTAAAAAGTCCTTTAATTTATATCTTTAAAATTAGAAACATCTGATTTGCATTCTACCACCTCCAAAGGCACAGTCATACTTATAGCGGACCAAATTCAAAAAACACTGCCACCGAACATCTTATTTTATTAACTTCAATTTGTTTTGTACATAAGAAACAACGCACTATAAAAATGACTAAACAGTTTCACTGGTTGAACCACTCTGAATGGTGTCGATCATAGAAAGCCTGGAGTGATATGTTCTCACCTGTAGTAGCATTAGATTCCATTTTAAAAGCTAATGTGCTGGTTTGAAAGCTGTCAATCCCTGTGCACTGCAGCCATTTAAAGACAGAGCACTAAAATATTCCAGAAAAAAATAGATGAAATGTTTACGCCAACCAATTCTGATGAACAGTGTTTAAGAATATGGAGGGTTGAAGCAAAACAAAGCCAATGGCAGGATGGCTGAAATGCAGTGAGATGAGACACGGCGGTGCAGGCCGTGCAGGAAAAGAAGAAAAGCTTTCAGACTTCTCACCTCCAAAGTCTCTGAACTGAGCGATCTGAAATATTAACATGCGATCTGATGCCTACATCTCACCACTAGAAATACACTTAAGACTTCAAGGATGAAGGTGAAAACAAAAAAAAACTAGCTTTGTATCACTTTTTTAAAGACAACAGTCAATATGTGCAAAGAGAGCCTGTCTGTGGTAAAGTCATCCGATATAATCGAGGGTTTGATAACTCAACATACAATCACAAATCAATAAAGCACACAAAAATGCTGCTTACAATGTGAGACAACACAGCACCACACACGGCACGAGAGGTTCACTTAGTGACAACAGAATTCAGAGATAGTGGATAAATATACAGTAGGATATTTCAATGTTCTTACTCAGGCACAGTCCTCC